ACATATAGATTGAAAAGATATGAAGATAAGATACATCCTTGACACACATCCTTCCCAATTTTGAACCATGCAATGTTTCCTTGCTCTGTTCTGATGACTGCCTCCTGGTATGGGTTTCGCATAAGCACAATCAAATGTTCTAGGATTCCCATTCTTCTCAGAGTCAACCACAGTTTGTTGTGATCCACACAGTCAAATGCCTTTGCATAGTCAGTGAAACATAGCTAGACATTCCTCTGGTACCCTGTGCTTTCAGCCAAGAACCATCTGACATTCGCTATAATATCCCTAGTGCCATGGCCTCTTCTAAATCCAGCCTGCACTTCAGGCAGTTCTCTGTTGATGTGCTGTTCCAGTTGTTTGTGGATAATTTTCAGCAGAATCTTGCTTGCATGTGGTATCAGCGATACTGTTTTGATAATTTCCACACTCTGTCGGATCACCTTTTTTTTGGAATGGGAACAAATATAGATCTCTTCCGGTCAATTGGCCAGGTGGTTGTCCTCCAGATTTCTTGGCACACTTGGTGAACAAATCCAGGGCAGTGTCTGTTGAAATATGTCAATTGGTATGCCATCAATTTCTGGGGCCTTTTTTTTTTTGCCAATTCTTTGAGAGCATCTTGAACTTCCTTCACCACAGGCTCTTGTTCATTTGTTATTTCATGAAATTCTTCTGTGTCTGTTAATTATTTTTGGTACAGTGACTCTGTATACCCTTTCCATCTTTTTTTAATGCTTCCTGGATTATTTAATGTTCTTCCCAAAGCATCCTAAAGCATTGCAACTCAAGGTTTGAATTTGTTTTTCAGTTGCTTCAGCTTAAGAAATACTGAGTGAGTTCGGCCCTTTTGATTTTCTGACTCCAGCTCCTTGCACATTTCATTGTAATTCTTTACTCTGTCTTCATGCTCTGCCCTCTGGAATCTTCTGTTCAACTCCTTAATATATTGATTTCTTCCCTTTGCTTTGGCTTCTTGGCACTCCAATGCAATATTTAGAGTTTCTTCTGACATCCATCTTGGTCTTTCTTTCCTCCTCTGTCTTTGTAATGACCTTTTGCATTCTTCCTGAATGATATTCTTGATATCCTCCCACAGCTCATCCAGTCTTTGATAATTAATGTCTAAGGCCTCAAACCTGTTCCTGAGATGGTTTTGAAATGCATATGGGCTAGACTCAAGGAGAAATTTGGGTTTCTGTGAACTTGACTTAATTTTCCTCAGCTTCAGCTTGAACTTGCATATGAGCAGTTGGTGGTCTTTTCTACAATCAGCACCTGGCCTAGTTTTCACAGCTGACATTGAGCTTCTCCAATGATTATTTTCACAGATGTAATCAATCTGATGCCTATGCATACCATCAGGTGAAATCCATGTGGATAGCTTGCGTTTATGTTTCTTATAAAATATACTTGCAGTGATTAAGTTGTTGATTGTGCAAAATTCTATCATTCTGTCTCTGGCTTCATTTCCATCACCAAGTCCATGTTTTCCAACTGCTGATTCTTCTTCTCCATTCCCAACTTTTACATTCCAGTCACCCATTATTATTTATGCATCTTGATTGCATGTCTTATCAATCTCTGACTGCAGAAGTTGGTAGAAATCTATTTCCTCCTCTTTGGCTCCGATTGGTATAATAGCCTGTGTTAAATGTCCTTAATGTCAGTAGGAGATGTTATCTGCAAGATGCCTCACTCTGCTCCTCCCTGCTGATTAGTCTCTAATTTCCCTTGGAAGTGTTAAATAAGTACTTTCATGGAGGAGAGGACTTGAATTTAATCAATTGTCATTTATATTTATTCATTCATTCATTTAGCTTTAGAGGAGAAAATAATGCCAGTTTAGGAGAAAAAAAGAATCTATATCCCTTACCTGTCTAGTTTTTTAATTTGCTTTTTTTTTAACTAATCCTCTTATTTATCCTTAGATACACATTTATCTTCTCACTGGCTCATTGCTTGCTTTTATTTCTTGCAATAAGCTGACCAAGATTTAAAACCTATTGATTCTGAAGCTGCCTCTGACATACTTGGGCATGTTGCAAGGAGGGACCTGTCCCTGGGAGGATGGAGGGACAGAGAAAGAGGAAGACCATCAATGAAATGGATTGACTCAGTGACTGGGATAATGAGGGAAGGTGTTTCAGAGACAATAAGGTTGGCACAGGATAGAGCAGGGATCAGAGCTGCTGTACATAGAGTTGCTATGAGGCGCAACTGACATGATGGCACATAACAACAACATTGGCCGCTTGTTTAAAACTTGTTATTCCATGCTCGTTGCATATTCATAAAGATGTTTCAAATTCTAAACCAGTGATGATGGGGGGGGGAGTATCAACTTTGTTTCTTTCTAGAATTAGATTGCCCTTATATTTGCAAAAGCTTTACTTGTTTGCTTTTGCAATGAGTAATGTTAACTTTTGGGCTCTATTGTGGATAGTATTGTTCAACCTGAAGGTGGACGGGAGGTGGTGAGTAACTAGATTTCTGCTTAGTTCCATTAATCCCTTTGTCTTTTTCTCTGCCTGTGTGTGGTGGTGGGGTGGATGTTATTAGGTATTGTTTAGTGGACTGGTAATTCATAGTGCCCCTGTGTACAAGAGATGAAACTTTGTGGGATTCTGCATTGCAATCACTGTGTCAAGCCATCTCCTTGAGGGTCTCCCTCTCTGTTTTGAAAGGTCACATAGCTGAACATCCAGCAGGTTTTCAGAGGCAGTAAACTGAATGGGAGGAGATTGCCCATCTGTCTCCCACAGAGAAGCTAATGGATTTGAACCTAGTGCCTTAGGGTTCACAGCCCAATTTCTTAACACTAGGCCACCAGAGATCTAGTTAATTTTTTTTTTTCTCTCTGACATACATGACAAGGCAAGGAACTAAACCATCTCTTTCGCTTACAGTCCCTTTTGTCCATAAATAAGTTTTTAAATTTTTTCCCCTATAAACTTTTTTGTGCTGTATTTCATTGACACAGTTAGCTCTCATTTGCTGTATTTAATATGTTCTTCTTTGGCCCTCCCTTCTATTCCCAACTGCTATCTAGATAATTTAGAACAGAATTTTTGCCATTCAGAACAATGTTACAGAAACATTTTTAGACCTGCCTTCTTAGGAATGTGGAAAATGTCTCTCCAGAGATATTTTTACTATAAGAGTTAACGTTACGTTATCCTCACAATAATAGGAGATTTTGCTTATTTGACTTATCCCTGTGATCTATCATGTATGTATATACTTAGCAGCATTTCCATATCTCTCCTGGCAGGTCACAAGGAAGGAGACTGGGACTAATAAATAGCTCTTGTTGTCTTTTGGATACATTGTCCTTTTATTCCTCTTTGAATGATTGATTAATTAATTGCCTGGGTTGGATGTTCTGACAGTTTTCTTAAAGAACTCTTCATGGAATGGATTTTTATATTTTTGTAATTATGATGAGTGCAAATGATGGTGGTTATTTCTTTTCCTTCTAGTGCTAATCTCCACATTACACTTTAGACCTATTAGAAGTTTATGTCCAGATAGTAGATGGTGCTTGCTGTAACTTTGTTGAGAGGAGAGAAATGTTGCTTTATTTTCTTAGTCTTCACTGTCAGTTTGTATGCTTTTATTGGTTCTGCTCGGTTGTCATGTGCATATTCTTCCCTTCTTTGTTAATTTATTACTAGCCTAAATTTCATCTAGGTATTAATTCAAAATAACTTTTATTTTCTTTTTGTTTCCCAAATTGAGCTTCTGTAAAAGGACACATTGATGAGGGAGTAGAGTTGATGCAGTTTTTTTGTTTTTGTTTTTAATTGGCATTCCCTCTTTTAGCAAAGTTTTCGCATTGTTTGCTATGCAAAACAGGAAGTTTTCTTTGGTAATATCCTTAATCAGGTTAAAATGAGTAGATGATCTTTTCTGAGAAAACACCAAATGGCGGATGACGCCGGTGCAGCGGGAGGGCCTGGAGGCCCTGGGATGGGAGCCCGTGGCGGTTTCCGAGGCTTCGGTAGCGGTCTGCGGGGACGGGGCCGTGGGAGGGGCCGCGGAGCTCGAGGAGGCAAAGCCGAGGACAAGGAGTGGCTCCCCGTCACCAAACTGGGCCGTCTGGTGAAAGATATGAAGATAAAATCATTGGAGGAGATTTATCTTTTCTCCCTGCCCATCAAGGAATCTGAGATCATCGACTTCTTCCTGGGCATGTCCCTCAAGGATGAGGTGTTGAAAATCATGCCAGTGCAGAAGCAGACACTTGCTGGCCAGCGGACCAGATTCAAGGCCTTTGTTGCCATCGGAGACTATAACGGCCATGTTGGCTTGGGCGTCAAGTGCTCCAAGGAGGTGGCTACTGCTATCCGTGGGGCCATCATTCTAGCCAAGCTCTCCATTGTCCCTGTGCGGCGTGGCTACTGGGGGAACAAGATTGGCAAGCCTCACACCGTTCCCTGCAAGGTGACTGGGCGCTGTGCCTCTGTGTTGGTGCGTCTGATCCCTGCACCCCGAGGCACTGGAATCGTCTTGGCCCCTGTGCCTAAGAAGCTGTTGATGATGGCTGGAATTGATGACTGTTACACCTCAGCCAGGGGCTGCACAGCTACCCTGGGCAACTTTGCTAAGGCCACCTTTGATGCCATCTCAAAGACCTACAACTATCTGACCCCAGATCTCTGGAAAGAGACGGTGTTCACCAAGTCTCCCTACCAGGAATTCACAGATCATCTTGTAAAGACTCACACCAGAGTCTCCGTGCAGAGGACTCAGGCTCCAGCTGTGGCCACCACCTAGTGGATTTTCTATAACAAATAAAGTGAATTATGTTCTAAAAAAAAAAAAATGAGTAGATGAAAAGTCTTAAAAATGTCTAGTGAGCAGTTGAGAACAATATTTATTTATTCTTGTTTCAAGCAACAATTTTTAAACTTAAAAAATATAAGACAAATATAAAGGCAAACAAAGCATATTTTCTTTTGTAGGTATTTTAGTCTGCTGTTTTTAATGAAGCCAAAATGCCAATAAGACCAGATCTCCAGGTATGTAGTCTTAGATCACTACAGAAGTATTTTAGTTTCTAAAGTGTTTTGTGGCTTGTTTATAAGTGTTTAGTGCTAAATGAAAGCTTGTATGATTTCGTCCGAAGGTCAGTAGTAGCACAATCTAAACAAAAGTGTTGTCTTTCCCTTTATTCAATCTATGTATTCAGAAAAATATATTCAGAACATATAAAGAGCATTAAAGGTGCTAGTTCTTTTTACCTTTTATATAGCAGAGAACTATGTCAAAGTTATAGCTAGATGTTTTATACTGAGGTGTTTGTTTTTTTAAAATGGTAGTAGATTAGCATTTTGGTAAATAGTAAGTTTTAAAAGAATATCTGTTTCATACATATGTGATTCACCACTAGGTCTGTGTAGTTATCAGATTATGGTAATAAAGTTACTAATGAAGTACTGTAGTAGCAAAGATACTAGATTTTGCAAAGGTTATAGGTAATATATAAGGGAAATGCTTATATAGAACCTTCTACTTGAAGTGTGGCTTCACCTGTCTTTATACACTTTTCTCTATTTAAACTCATGAAGAATTTAGTAATATGCTAAACTTTTTACATATCAAATTTAAATTGCTGCAAAGTTGATTTTACAGTAATCAACTAACTTTGGTTAGTTATCATAATGATAACTTCAGCAATAAAAAAATAATTTAAAATACTAAGGAAATTTTTTCCCACTATTTAAGGTCTAGTTATTACCAAAAACATTATTTGTTATGGTCAGTCTAAATTTAAGAGTGGCTGGTCTATTAAATTAATGAATTGACATGAAAGTTTTTGTATGATGACCATTCTGAAATTACTAGATTGCATAAGGAAATTAATAAATTAGATTAAATGTACTCTTAATTATCTTTCTCTAGCAGTTGGAAAAGTGCATTGATGATGCTTTAAGAAAAAATGATTTCAAACCTTTAAAAACACTTTTACAAATTGCTGTTTGTAAAGATGTGAAGATTAAATGCAGCAAGCAGTTTTTCTTCAAATTGGATGACCTGATATGTAGGGTAAATATCAACTTTTGATAAATAGTTGTTAAAATTATTAGTGTTCTAGTTCAGAAAGAATTACTCATTTGGAAGAAATCAAAAGCAAGGATAGGAGTGTCGAAGACCATAAAATTGGCTCAGGATAGGGTAGACTTCAGAGCTATTGTGCATAGGGTCTCCATGATGGCACATAACAACAGTGTTATTGTTTTTATATACCATTAAGTTGGATTGACTCATAGCTGACCCTCCAGTAGGTTTTCAGAGACAGTAAATTCCACAGGAGGAGACTGCCTGTCTTTCTTCTCTGGAGGAGCTGATAGATTCACCAGCTTAGCTCCTTACCACTAGGCCACCAGAATGGCATCCTGTAAGCTCTGTAAGCATCCTTATATAAACACCTGTTTTATTGTGTGTGTGCTTACTTTGCTTTATCTGAGTAGTCTCAAATAACATAGTGGACTGTTGTTTCCCAAATAAGATATATATGAAGCTGCATTTACCTAAGTCTACTATTAGTAACTGTCACCTAAACTGGGGAGGAAAAGATGTCTTTTTTAAATTTAAAAACTCTACCATTAAAAAACCTTCAAGTAGATTCTTGATGTTATATAGACAATGCTTGGTGTTGACAAAAGTGAATCCTTCAATACCTAGAGTTTGATTTCTCATATCTAAGGCATTTTTATATGTGAGAAAAAATTTATTGGTAGTAGTCTCTTCTAGTGCTCAAGATTCGTTGTTTTAAAGAGTTGAGTGAAATTTTCTTGTATGTGTTAGTTAAATACATGGGACTTTTTAAGAATGGGAGAGAATTTATTACATCATAGGCTAAAAGTTCTTGCATTTATACCAATTTATTTTGTCCTAAGTTTGTCTTTCACTGGTGGGCTAGCTCCGGGAAACTTGGATTTTTTAAAAGTACATTTTCTTCCTTAGCAAAATGATCATGATGATAATTGCTTCCTTTCAGAACTTGTGAGATTTACAAATACATGTATAAAGCATATTGTTGGTGTTTGCAGAAGTTTAAATGTATACTTTCATTTCAGGAACTGGAAAAAAGGGACCTCCAAAATGTTTCAGCCATTTTGGTTTCTGTTGGAAGATGTAGTAAAAATATTAGTATACTGGGGCAATCTGGACTTCTAACTATGATAAAACAAGGATTAGTCCAAAAGATAAGTATAGAATATGTAACATTCATGTCAGTGAATTATAATAAAAGATGTGGGTTTTTTGCTAAAAAAATAGCGCAAACTGCTGAGAAGTACATTTGTAGCTTTACATAAAAATTTGAGAATATTGGTAAACTGACTTGCTCCATAAATAAACTTTTGCCCTAACAACAATAACATTTTCTGCCTTAAACAAAAAACCAAAACAAAGTATACTTTGAGCTGTTCACAATATAGTCCATAAATGAGAAAACCACATATAATTTATCTTATTAAAATATATATGAGTTTTAGGTGTAATCAGTGTGTATTTTTTTATTGTGATTTGAGTGAAAGTTTACAAATTATATTGATTTTTCATTTAAGATTTTGTACACAGTTTGTTCTAGAATATTAATTACAATTTACATAATACTGCATTTCTCTTAAGTCACCTTAATACCTTTATTATGTTTTTACTTCTTTCCCCCTCATTTCCTATCATTATTAATTTCAAAAAAATTATTCTCTTTGCATAAATTCTTCTTCAGCTTTTTATCATTTTTAAATGCTGATATTAAAAATATTTTCCTTTTGTGACTGACTTATGTCACTCAGTATAATTTTCTTAATTATTGTATAATATTATTTCTTTTTATTTTTTCACGTAGTATAGCTAGTCTCTCACATTAGAATCTAGGGCATTGATTTTTATCTGTTTTGTTCGTTGCTTGTACCACCAGTGCCTTGAACAGTGGCTGGGATATAGTACTCCAAACCCATTGCTGGGGAGTAATTTCTGAGTCCTAGCAAACTGTTGGGTGGAGTAGAACTGCCCCATAGGGTTTCAGGGTTGTAAATCTTTATGAAGCACACTGCATCCTCTTTCTGTCATGGAGTGGCTAGTGACCACTGCAGTGTCTCAGAATTAATTGGCACAAAGCAAAAACTTCTTAATAAGTGTAAAGCCACCCAAATAGTCTAACTTGTGATGATAATGTCTTTTCATTTATTAGAATTAATGTGCTTGAGTGAATAACTTAAAAGAGTAAGAAAGGGGGTTTTTTCCTACCGAGAGTTAAGATTAAATTAATCTTGTTGGTAGGTGTCAATTTCATTTTGACTCCTAGTATCCCCATGTGAAGCAGTCAGGTTTTCTTGATTTTGTTGCAGTCTGTGGAGAGTTGTGCTGCTAACAAAATGGTGATTTGAATCCACTAGCAGCTCCACAGGAGAAAGATGGGCAGGACAGAGGGTCATTGTGAGTTGGAATCAACTTCATGGTAGTGAGTGAGTGGGAATCTTTATGGGATATCTTTATGCCAGGTCCTTTGCTTAGGGAACCACTGAGTGAGTTTGAACTACCAACTTTTTGAGCAGCTGAGCATTTAACCATAGGTATCACAACGAATCTTTTAAAATTTATCTACTGCTCTCAACATCATGGGGAAATACGGTGAGTTGTCAAAACTAACAAACAACCCAAAAAGGGAGAAGATAATCTTATTTTGACACAATATAGGATTTTTTATCTTCCTTTATTCATAGGCATACAATTTATACAATAATGAATACATTCTTAAAGTTATTAAAATTGATTTCAAAGTAATATGTACATTCTCTTCTTTTACATGGTTTCCTGGTTTGAAAAATTGAAAGAGATTATTCGAAATCAAGGGAATTCAAAAGATGGAGCTCTTATAAGTATGATAGAAGACTTCTTTGATATTTTGATGGTAATAATCACATTGATTGATTTGTAAAGGTTATGTGTTCAAAACAGTGTTGTATATACTTTGAGTATAGAAGTATGTATTAATCTATTAGCATATATTAATATGTATTAGTATAAGGTATTCCTAGAACATATATATTAGACTGTTAGCGTTGTACTTAACACTTTGTCTTATCAAGTGCTATTACAGTAGAAATACTATAAGTGGGTGGCTTTAAAGAACAAATTTATTTTTTCATAATTTAGGTGACTGGAAGTCCAGATTCCAGGTCCAGGGGATGCTTTTCCTCTTGAGGCTCGGGAAGAAGGGCCTTGTCTCTTTTAGCTTCTGTTCCTGGGCAGTCACCCCGTGGCTTAGCATCTCTTTCTTGCTTCATGTCACTTTGCTAGCAGCATTTAATCTCTTTTATTTCACATGAAACATGAAATTGACCGAGGATATACCTTCTACTGATCCTTCTATTTTCAAACTCTGATGGCTGCCAACCCAAAGAAAGGGAGAATGCTGGACATTCTCCTTTGCTGCAGTGTACGGCCTCTGAAAACCTGCCAGAGGTCAGCTTTGAGTTGGTTCCAGCAATTAGAGACACACACACGCACACAGAGGAAGAGAGTGCGCGAGCATGCGAGTACACCCGCGCCAAGAATTCTAGTAACAAAGATTACCCAAATGGGATTATAAACATAGAAATAGTGGTTAGGATTTACAACAGAAATTCTTTAGCGGACACAGTTCGATCCATAACAGTCTTGATGATTGTTGCTGTGTGCCATCAAGTCAGAACTGACCCATAGCAGACCCTCGAGTGGCTTTCCAGAGGCAGTAACTTGCAGGGGAGGAAATGACCCATCCTTCTCCCACGGATCAGCTGGTGGCTTTGAGCCTTTGGGTGTGCAGTGCAGCTTCTTTTCCCTCAACCGCCAGAGCATCTTAAATTTAACTAGTATTCTTACCACTAGGCCACCAAAGCTTTTTAAAATTTAATTAGTATAATTAAATGTTCAGTTAATAAATAACTATCTGGTAATTTAAAATACAATCTGTGGTGGTTTAAAATATAGAAATTATAAATTGCACCTTCTTTTACTTTTTCAGCTTGTAAATGATGTCAGTGATGAAGGTATAGTAAATATCTTGTTTTTATTAGAACAATAATTTGTTTTTAAGGTTTTCATACAATCTTGAGTCCAATGGTATTGTGTTAGGAAATAAAATAATTCACTAATTTTAGTGACCCATAAACGTTTCTGTAAAGGACAAGGGACTAAAATAATTTTAGCAGTTGTAGGTTAAGAGACAAAAATATCAAATCTGTTATGTAGCCTTAACAAGAAAAAAAATGTTCTACTGATTATAATTTTTTGTTATACAAGTCTGCTAATGAGAAAAAAATAACTTCCCTTTGACAGAGTGATGTTTCATTTAACTGAGGTTCAAAGTTTATTCCTTATTATCAAAATTGATAAAAAATGTTCATTTTTAATATTAATTTGTAACGAGATTTTATGTATTTCACATTTTAAAATGCCTTTTCATGCATCTACTGCCAAATACTGATTTCATTTCATGAGAATATGAATTTTAGTTGAGCATATTCATCATTGGGAAGGCATTTATAGAATTGTTTTTCTTAGTGTTTGCCTTTTAGAATGTTATTACATTGCAAATTACTCACTTTCAGTTGAAGGATATGTAGAAGTGTCTCGTCTGCACAGTTAAATGAATTTTTAAATATTTCTTTTGCATTTACATCAAGGTGTAAGAATGTTGCTGGACATCTTGGTGGGTCTTGGAAAAGCTATTTACGCAAATTTGTGTGTAAATGAAGCTATCACTTCTTTTTTAGCTTTTACGTCTCAGAAGTTACCAAGCTGTTTAATACTACTTTTGGTTCAGATAACACTCATTCATTGCAATCAAGTCTGGACCTAGTTGACCCTTCAGTGGATATTAAGAGGCTGTAAATTATGTGGGAGAAGATTGCCAATCTTTTTTCGTGCAGAGCAGATGGTGGATTTGAACTACATACCTTTGGGTGGGCAGCACACTCCACACCCAACTAGGCCACTGGAACTCCCTCAAATAGCATTACTGGTCATCAAAATGACTTTACTGCAGCTTAAGTTTTTCATATAAAGCAATATTTTGCTTTGCAATTTTGAGTTGAACTTATTAAATGTAATGAAGTCTTCAGCAAAAGCTGATTTCAAAAGTCATTCAGTGTTTGATGGCAGTGGTTGAGTATTATTCTTTTTTCATATAAATTTTCAACTTTGACCCAAGGTGCAAAATAAAATTTTATCCCACCTAAGTTCTCACACTGCTGTGACTAGGGCAGCTCTGTCGCTCAGCTATTCTTTTTGACAAAAACCCACTGGCAATTGCCAAATTCATAGAAGTGAGTGAGGTTTACCTAGAACACTGTAGTTTCAATAAAACATGATAGATTAAAATACTTCCTACACAGTACCAGCTGAGGAATAATTTTTTAATTATCAAGTCCGCAAATTCATTCATGGCAAACTCATTTGTGCCAGACTAGCTTTGTATTCTGCAAGGTTTTCAGTGGCTGACTTCAGAAGTAGATTGCTGGGACTTTCCACTGAAGTTTCTGGGTACAGTTTAACTGCCAACCTTTAAAGGACCTGCCTAGTTGCTGCATTAGCCTTTGGCACTGTCTATATCTTTGATGAAAATCGAACCAAGCAAAGCCAGATAGTTGGTCAGATTTTTCCTGTAAGGATAATGCCAACCCTTGATAGAACACTTTTATAGTACATTAGACTGGAAATAGAGAATACTTTGTAGTGTTCACTTTTGACTAACTTTGTGTCAGGCCTTCAGGTTATTTTATATTTGTGTTGATTGAGAAAGATTATCTAGGAATTCAAGAGAAAGTATCTGACATTTTTTTCCCTCTGAAGTTAGTAAATTGTTTATAAATAAAGGGACAATACTTGTTTCCTTCCATCAGCCTGCTAGTAGTCTAACAGATCAGTTGCTGTTTATTTAGTAGATAATGATGTCTTTTTATCAGTTTCTCAATTTTTGTCATTAATATAAATAAATTATTAAATCCTAATTTCTCAATTTTGAGGGAGAAAAAAAATCCCTAAGTGCTAGAAATTATAAAGTGATTCAACTGCTATGAGATTTTTTTTGTTTTTAAGCTAATCTGTATCTGTTTACCTAAATGAGCTCCTTCTGCACACACTTCAGTATCAACACTGCAGAGTTATATATTTACTGTTAAAACATTGGCATTGTTTAAAATTATTTTTTAAATCCACTTTATAAAATAGCATGTAGAACTGATTGTGCCAATGAAGACTCATCCTTTGGGAATAGGCTTTGTCTGGCCTAGGTCATTTCAAGCTCCACAGTGTTAAAAATGGTGATGGTCATCAAGTGTGTGAGCATTTGGAGGGGTGACTATAAATTAATGAGTCCAGTTGCCCCAAAAGGAGTTTTAATTTTCTACTTTTATCTGTTTTCTCCAAAAAGTCATGTTTCCTGGGTGACTGAAATAAAGTGGATGGAATGTGCTCTCTTGCTAACTTTAAGGCTGGTCAGTTCTGTTAAGGAGTGTTTGTTCAGGGCCACATAGCTGGTGAGCTCAAGGCTTTCTTGATGCCTAGGCCAGAGAGGGCTTTTAAAATGTACCAGTCCGTTCCACTAATTCAAATGAGAAAAGATTGCCATTTGAAAGGGTTTAAGTGCATATCTGTCAATTAACTCTTTTATTCAGGTAAAAGACAAATAGTGGAAAATTTTACTCCACGAATTTGTGCCCTGGTTATTGACTCAAGAGTGAATATCTGCATTCAGCATGAGGTAAAGTTGTCTTTTATAAAACCTAAAAATGAGAAGATTTCATAGAAAGTCATCAAATTGAATGACTTTTTAATCTTGGAATTATTTTGCATATTTCTCTTGTTATAGCAATTCATTACATTTAAAATTGACAAACGAACATATTACTTTATATTTACCAAAAATATATAATTATATGGGTTTACGCATGTGTAGAGCTCACATAAAAATAAATTATAACATCAAACTATTAGGCATTCTTAGACATTTAATACTAAAAATCCCTTATTTGTCTATTGCATTACATGTGTATAATTCTGAGACTAAAAGTAATGTTCATAATAAAAAATCCCTACTTCTTTTAATAGAGAAGTAACAAATGTCATATTGCAGAATGTAAAATTTTTTTAAGTACAAGAATCATGTCTGCTCTTCTGTGCTATGCTAAAGATTTTTGTTGTCACTGATTTTATTTCTTCCCTCCACCCTGCCCCATTTCTTGCATCAAAGGTAGGGTTTAAGATAAAAATAAAATCCTAAATTGATGTCCTTAACAGTATTTTTCAAAGTATTTAGTGTTTCACTGAGTACACAAAGTTACTAGATTATACTTTTTTCTTTCCTAGACTCTAAAAAGAATGAATACTATTCTCGAAAAAATACCTCAAGATTCCAGAAAAGTACTGTCTAATCAAGAAATATTATCTCTCATGTAATAATTTCTATTATCTCACTTTTTAGTATAAGTCAATAATTTAAAGAGTACTTAATAAGTATTAATAAGGTAGTAAGGCAACCATGGCGCCCTGGTGGCCTAGTGGCAAGAAACTTTGCTGCAATTCCAAAGGTACATGGTTCAAGGCTACCAGCTGCTCCTCAGGAGAAGAATGAGCAGTCTCTTGCTGTGCGATTAACTGTCTCTGAAAACCCACCGAGAGTCAGCTGTGGGTCAGTTCCAACTAAACAGCACACATCATCAACATTATCTAGACATGGAAGGTGGATGGATGCCTGAAACTCTTGTTCTGAGATGGTACACAACAACAAGGGAACCATGATTATGCATTAATTGATAGACTGTTGTAGGTTTCATATGTTTTCTGCAGTTTACTAGCCAGTTGTGTTGATGCTGATATGTACTTTCAAATCAGAACTGACACAAAGCTGACTACCCGCCCCCCCCCCCCGACGGGTTTTCAGAGGCAGTTAGTCTCATGGGTGGAAGTCACCCACTCTCCTCCCACAGAGAGCTGGTGTACCTTTGGGATTGCAGCACAGCTTCTTGCCACTATACCTCCAGAACTCCCTTGTGGTGGTGGTGGTGTTTTTGTTGTGATGTACCATTGAGTCACCTACAACTCATAGTAACCGTATGTGCAGCAGCCCTAAACTCTGCTCTATCCCTTGCCAATCTTATTGTGTCTGACACACCTATGCCTCGTACTCTAGTCACTGAATCAGTCCATCTCATGGAGGACCTTCCTCTTTTGCGCTGTCCCTCCATGCTCCCAAGCATGACGTCCCTCTCCGAGGATTGGTCCCTCCTTGCGACATTTCCAAAGTATGTCAGAGGAAGCCTCAGAATCCTTGCCTCCAAAGAGCAGCCTACTCGCACCCTCTCTAGGACAAATTTGTTTGTTCTTCTAGTAGTACATGGTATACTCAATACTCTTCTCCAGCACCACAGTTCAAAGGCATCAATTCTCCTTCTGTTATCCCTAGTCATTGTCCAGCTTTCTGATGCATAGCAAGTAATTTAAAAAACTATGACCTGGATCAGGCTCACCTTAATCTCCAGACTAACATTGTTTTTCAGTACTTTGGATAAATCACTGACCGCAGATTTTCCCAATGCAATTTGTCTTTTAATTTCCTGGCTGCTGGTACCAAGAGTGTTGATTGTGGAGCCAAACAAACTAAAGCTTTAGTAATCTCAATCTCTTCACCATCTATCATGATACTGCCAATCAGCCCAGTGTTAGGTTAAAACATAAGAGTTTTTAAAATTCAATTAATATTAATTCTGTTTTTTTTATTCACAGGAATAGTATGGGGGAAAGGATTATAGATGCTGGAGGTATGTCTTTTCAAGATGTTTATATTGAATTATTACTAATATATAAATAGATTATTTCTTTAATCAAAATAATTGTAATTGCTGAGATTATTTGGGAAAATGAGACACTGTTTATATACCATCAGGCAGTGTTTAAATATATAATAAATGATGGATATCTTTGAGAGTAAAATAATTTAGCATGATAATAGATATTAGATAAATTTAATAGAGGCCTCATAGTATATTTATGAATAATAATTTTGCAATAAATTTTAATTATTTGTGAAAAAAATTTTCTGATGTTATTTTATTAGCAGTAGTTCTGATATTCTTGAGTTTGATATTCTTGACTTGTTTTCAAACAAATCATTTACTCAGTTTCCTAAATCTCATCGAAGAAATTGTTGATGTGATGATTTACGTGGAGATAAACTTATTGATTTAAAGTACTCTAATAACTATAAACATAGAGAAAACAAGGGTTTTAGAATTAATAGACTGTTGTATAAGCAATTTTTAATCTGTGAGTATTTAAGAGGGTTTTTTAAACTTTGTTTTTAAAGTTTCAGTCTTCTACTATTGAACTTACATGGTCATTTGGTTTTTTGTTTTGTTTTGTTTTCATTTTGTTTGTATTATTTCCTGTAGTCAGAGATTCTGAGGATGGCACAAGATAGGACAAGGTTTGGATCTGTCGTTCATAGGGTTACTATAATCCATAGTCTGCTCCACAGCTTATAACAACAGCATTCATGTAATGATGAACTATTTATAATCTGTTGTTGTTGTTGTGGGTCGTCAAGTCGCTTGCGACTCATAGCGACCCTATGTCCAACATCCCTAAACTCTGCTCTGTCCTGTGCCAAACACACCATCTCCGATACTCCCATCCCGATTACCCCAGTCACTGAATCCTTGCCTCCAAGGAGCAGCCTGGTTTGACCCTTTCCAGGATGAATCTGTTTGTTTTCCTAGCAGTCCATAGTACCCTCAATACTCTTCTCCAACACCACAGCTCAAAGACATCAATTCTCCTTCTATCCTCCTTAGTCATTGTCCAACTCTCTGATGCATAACAAGTGAAAGCAAAGACCATGGCCTGTATCAGACACACCATAGTCTCCAAAGAGACACCATTGCTCTTCAGTACTTTGGAGAGGTCCCTAACAGCAGACTTTCCCATGGCAATATGTCTTCTAATTTCCTGGCTACTGATGCCGAGAGTGTTGACTGTGGAGCCAAACAAACTGAAGCTGTGAACAATCTCAATCTCTTCACCATCCATCCTGATGCTACCGATTGGTCCAGTGGTGAGAATCTTTGTCTTCTTGACATTGAGCCTCAATCCATATTGGAGGTTGCAGGCCTTGACCCTCTGCAGCAAGCGCTTCAGGTCCTCCTCAGTTTCAGCAAGCAGGGTTGTATCATCTGCATATTGCAGATTGTTGATAGATCTTCCACCAATCTTGACCCCACAATTCTCCTCATAGAGCCCAGCCTCCCAGATAATCTGTTCTGCATACAGGTTGAAAAGGTATGGAGACAGGACACATCCCTGGCGTACGCCCTTCCCAGTTTTGAACCATGCAGTTTTTCCTTGCTCTATTCTGACGAATGCCTCTTATGTGAAGAAAATCACAAAAGAGTAGTTTACACAAATATTTACCTGATTTTCATTGGTTGGTTGTTCAAAGCTCTATAAAATGTGTGCTATTTTTGTTATTTACCATTGAGTGCATAGACTATATATTTATAAACTCTTCTCATTGTTTTAAATTATATTTGGATTTATAATATCTTATAGATTATGATTTACAAGTGTGCATCATAGAATCTTTATGTAGAATGACTACAAAAATACAAAGACAGGAGCTGGCATATGAGTGGTTTTCAATGGATTTTATTGCTAATGCATTCAAAGGAATTAAAGACTCTGAATTTGAAACAGTGAGTAATATAAAAGTAACAAATGACCTAAAATAAACTCTAATGGGCTTTGGGTTTTTTCTTAAATTATTACACTTTAATTTCTACTTCTTAAATTTAGGATTGCAGGCTATTTCTCAACCTTGTAAATGGCATGCTTGGAGACAAGAGAAGGTAAGCATGCCTTATGCATTCATTTACTGAGAAAGAAATAGGAATTAACAGGAAAGAAATAATGTTGAACCTTTATAAATTTAACTTGTTATATTAAAGTGTAAAACATGCAATCTCTTCCATAGTGATGTTATGTTACTATCGAGTCAGAACTGTACTGTAGTGTGATTTGTTGTTGTTGTTGTTATGTGCTATCAAGTCACCTGCAACTCATAGCAACCCTATATACAACAGCCCTAAATCCTGTGCCAATCTTATTGTGTCTGACACATTGACCTCCATTACCCTTGTCATTGAATCAGTCCATCTCATTGGGGGTCTTCGTCTCTTGTACTGTCCTTCCACCCTCCCAAGCTTGACATCCTTCTCCGAGGACTGGTCCCACCTTGCTACATGTCCAAAATATGCCAATTCAAAGCTTCAGAATCCTTGCCTCCAAGGAGCAGCCTCATCTCACCCACTCTAGGACAAACCTGTTGTTCTCCTTAGCAGTCCATGGTATATTCAGTACTCTTCCCCAGTTCAAAGGCATCAATTCTCCTTCTATCATCCCTAGTCATTGTCCAGCTTTCTGACACATAGAAAGTAATTGCAAAGACTGTGGCCTAGATTAGGCGCACCTTAGTCTACAGACTGACATCATTGCTCTTCAGTACTTTGGAGAGGTCTCTGACAGCAGACATTCCCAGTGCAATTCGTCTTTTAATTTCCTGGCTGCTGGTACCAAGAGTGTGCTTTAGTAGATGATTATAGATGATTAGATTACAGATTATTAAAGCTTCAGATAATCCTCCATTGCCCCAGTTTTACTTTGCTCTTTCAAAGGAAAAAAAATGCATTTTTTATTTAACATTATGCTATGAGAATGTAAAAAATTGGAACATGGAATGTACAAAGTATGAATGCTGGAAAACTAGAAGTCATGAAAAAGAAAATGGAATGCATGAACATTGACATCCTTAGGCATTCATGAGATGAGATGGACTGGTTTTAATCACTTTGAATCAGATAATCACAGTGGTATACTATGCTAGAAATGAGAAAACATAAGAATGGTGTTGCATTCATAGTTAAAAAGACAATTTCAAGTTCTCTCCTGAAGTACAACGTTGTGAGTGAAAGGATATTATCCATATACGTACAGAGGAAGGCCTATTAATACGACTATTTAAATACATGCATCAGCAGCTAAAGTCAAAGAGGAAATTAAAGATTTTTACCAAATTGACCAAACATATAATTGAGATGTGTTAAAGATAATAGGTGATTGGAATGCAATATTTGGAAACAGTGAAGAGGAAATGGTAGTCAGAAAGTATGAACTTGGTGACAGAGTAAGGCCAGAAATAGAATGATAGACTTTTGTAAAGGCAATGATTTACTCATTGCAACTGCCTCTTTTAAAAAACGAACAAAAACAAAACAGAAAAAAAAAACAGCAAAAAACTAAACAACTTTGCACATGGACCTCTCAAGATGGACTGCATTGAAAGGGGATTGACTACATCCGTGGAAGGAATCACTGGAGAAGCTCAATATCAGCAGTCCTTAGAGGGGCGGGAGGAACAGACAAACCATCAGTTACTCATGTGCAAGTTCAAATTGAGACTAAAGAAAATGAAAACAAGTCCATGAGAACCAAATTATGATGTTGAGTCTTTTTCACCCTGAATTTAAAAATCCTCTTAAAAATAGGTTTGAAACACTGAACACCAGTGATCAAAGACAAGATGAATTGTGGGATGACACCAGTGATAATTATACATGAAGAGTGAAAGGTCATTACAAAGAGCCAAAATGGGTATCAGAAGAGACCCTGAAAATTACAATAGTGCATAGAGAAGCCAAAACAAAGGGAAGAGATGCCGAGTAGAAGACTTCAGAGGGCAGCTTGAGAAGACAACGTGATAATGACTAAGGTACAGAGAGACCTGTCTTGTGTGAGCATATTCCCATTCTGGGATTCCCATTATTCTCAGTGTTAGCCATAATTTCTTTTGATCCACAAAACCGATGCTTTTACATAGCAAATAAAACACAAATAGACATTCTTGTATTCTCTGCTTTCAGCCAGTATCCATCTGACGTCGGCAGTGATAGCTCTTGTGCTGCAGTCTCTTCTAAAACCAGCTTGAACATCTGGTGATTCCCTGTCAATGTACTACTCTTCTAGCCATTTTTTAATGCCTTACGTCTCCTCATTTCCTGACTGCTGGTACCAACAGTGTTTATTGTTGATCCATGCAGGAGTAAATCATCAACAGCTTCAATGCTTTCTCCATCTAATGTTGACTGATAGTCTTCTGGAGAGAACCTTTGTTTTCTTGATGTTGAGAAATAATCCATACCAAAGGCTGTAGTCCTTGATCTTCTGCATCAAACGATTGATAACCTCTTCACTTTCAGCAAGCAAAGTTGTGGTATCTGCATAATGCAGGTTGTTGTTTGAGTCTTCCTCTGATCCAAATGGCACTTCATAGAGTCTGGCTTCTTAAATAATTTGTTCAGTATGGACAGGTATGAATAGGTAGGGACAAAAGATGCAACCTTGATACACGCCCTTCCTGATTTTAAAACATGCAGTGTTTCTTTGCTCTGTTTGGACATTCTCAAGCTGAAAGAACTGAACAACAAATTCAAGCCTTGAGTTCTAGTACTTACAGATATTATGGACAGAATCTTCAAGGAACTATCAAAAGAAGAGGGAGGAAATACGCAGAATCACTGTACCAAAAAGAATTGGCCGACACTGAAATATTTCAGAGAAGTACCATATGATTAATAATCATTGGTAACTAAGGAATAAATTGAAGCTGCACTGAAGGTATTGGAAAAAATAAGGCCCCAGAATTTGTTGGGATACCAGTTGACAAGTATGAAATATCAGATGCAGCCCTGGTTGTACTCACCAGTCTATGTCAGGAAATTTAGAGAATAGTTGGCTGGCTGGCTGGCTGGCTGGCTGGAAGAGAGTCATATTTGTTGCCATTCCCAAGAAAGGTGATCCAACAGAATGTGGAAATTATCAAACAATATCATTAATACTACTTTAAAGCAAAAATACTAAAGGGGGCAGTGGGCTCACATACTGCTTTTCCTTTCAGTTGGCCTGCTAGCTGTCTTTCAAAATCTTGGCTTAAGCAACTGAGTACATCAAGGGCTATATATGTTGAAATGCTTCAGTCAACAATCTTACCATTTCTAGAGATTGATTGATTGATTTTTTTTTTACTCCCTCCCTGTCATTGATTCTTGATCATATGCTGCTCCCCAAAATGGTTCAGTGCTGACCAGTTCTTTTGGTACAGTAACTCTTTGTGTTCTTTTCTCCTATCTTCTTTTGATGCTTTCTGTGTCATTCATCATTTTTCCCCAAGAATCCTTCAGTGTTGCAACTGAGAGCTTGAATTTTTTCAGTTCTTTCACTTTTGTTATCCTAACTTCAGATCTTTGTACATTTCATTATAATATTTTGCTTTGCCTTTGCTAGCTGCCCTTTGAAATCTTCTGTTCAGCTCTTAATTTTCTTATTTCATCATTTCAACCTTTTAGTATTTCTCCTATCAAGAACAAGTGTTAGAATCTCTTCTTACATCCATTTTGGTCTTTTCTTTATTTCCTGTCTTTTTAACAACCTTTTGCTTTTTGCATGTGTTCTTGATGATGTTCCTCAGTTTGCCTTCAGTTGAATGTTCTGTAGATCAAATATTTTATTGAGATGGTTTTTTAAAATCAGGAGGGATAAACTCAAGGTCATATTTTAATTCTTATAGACATTGTTGTGGGGTTTTTTTTTAGCTTTAGTTTAAACTTGGAAATAAACAACTGATGGATTTTTCCACCGTAGGCCCTTGGCCTTTGTTTAAGAGCTGATAATGAGTTTTTCCACTATTACATTCCATAGAATAGCTTGATTACTGTCTATTCCTTCATATGAGGTCCATGTGTATAGTTGCCATTTATGTTTTTTTAAATAATAGTTTGAAATCAGTAAATCTATGGATGAAATAGATAATGGTATCAACTGTTCTAGCTTGCTCGGCTCCACAGTCAACACTCTTGGCACCAACAGTCAGGAATCTGCTTTCAGAGTACTGAGAAGCAACGATGTCAGTCTAGAAACCAAGGTGCACCTGGTTCAGGCCCTGGTCTTCAAAATTACTTGCTATGCATCAGAGAATTGGGCAGTGACCAAGGATGACAGAAGAAGAATTGATGCCTTTAAGTTGTGGTGCTGGAGAAGAGTCTTGAACTTTGGGCATGTGGCCAGGAGGGATCAATCCTTGAAGAAGGACATCATGCTTTGAATGGTGGAGGGATGGTGCAAGAGAGAAAGACACGGATGAGATGGATTAATACAGTAACTAGGGCAATGGTGGTAGCTATGTCAGAGTCAGTGACACCGGCTCAGGACAGGCAGTCTTCAGAGCTGTTGTATATAGGATCGCAATGAGTCGCAGGCAACTCAACAGCATATAACAATTCAAAGTCCTGTTATGAAATCTTCAACTAAGACCATATTTTCCCAATTACCAATCCTCTATAAAGTGTTTACATTCCAGTCACTAATTTTTGTTAATGCATTTTTATTGAATGTTTGATCTATTTGAGACAGCAGAAATTTGTATAAATGGTGAATTTCTTCATTGTTGGCTTGAGCGGTTAGTGTGTCTATTTTAATAATAGTAGTATAACAGATCTTCTTTGTATGCCTATAGGTATTATCCTATTACTGACAGTATTGTAAGTGGAGATAGATATTGCAGTGTTCTTTTTTATAATGAAGACAACACAATTTCTCTTCAACTTGTCGTTCATGAGATAGTAGATCATAGGATTGTCTCATTTAGAATGACAATGGAAAAAAATCATTCAAACAGCCAAAACACTAGACAGGACTAAAGGGTGACCAGTAACACCATAGAGGCACTCACTCTTTAGAATAATCAGTGCTGTAAGGTCAAAAGAATAGCATTTGCACAGAGATAAAACTCTGAAGGCAGGACAGGTTAAGAGAGAAGGACTAATGGAAATGAGAATGATGAGGGAATGGGATTACATTGTAGTTATTATAATTATTGTAATAAAAAATGTGTATGAATGGTTGCATGAAAAATCAGTTAGCTTTGTAAATTTTCAAACAAAATAAAAAAATAAGAATCTCTTCTAATAAATTGTATAAGACACTCATATAAAATTAGTATAATAACTATACTCAAAATGCACAGTAAGAATTTGGAAGAATTTCTGTTAAAATTTTTTAAAAGGAATAAGAGGAAACATTCTTGTATTTAAATTTAAACTATTTACTAATGTCCTTTGTATCCTAGATATGGTTTCTAATGCTGGAAACGATTGTGCTTAAAGATTTGTTTAACTCAAGTTACTTTTTATTTCAGGGTCTTTACATTCCCCTGTGTCTCAGCATTTCTTGATTCATATGAAGTGAGTTTTAAATGTATCCTTTTTTAATTATGGAATGATTTCTGATGTAAGGTTCCAGCAAATTAAACATTAGAAGCTGATAACATTTAAAATAGTCATCAGATCATATCAGAACTACAATTGATTTCACTTTCTCTATCAGAGAGTGACACCAAAAAGATATTTTATGAAACAGTACAGCCTAGGATAATTTTAAAATAGGAAAGATTTATCTTCTAAATGTCCTTGTGTTTCATTACTCAAGTCCATATGGATTAATCATTCATGAATGTATTAAAATAGAGTGTTTTCCATTTCTGTTAGCACTTGGAGTATTTGTGGGTTTGGGGGGCTGATTCCTTTGTAAAAATCTAAAGCAATATTTCCCCTAGTTTCTAAGCTGATTTAAATGTTTTGCTTGTCTGCTCACTCTTGTCCCTCACCTTCCAATTACTTAAACAGACTCAGCCACAAAGATAGCAAAGGCATAATTTTCTTTCATTTTAAAAAAAAGCACAATGTATATGGGTTCTGTGTTTTCTTTTATTAGTTACAAATACCATCAGATGAAAAGCTGGAGGAATTTTGGATTGATTTTAATCTAGGAAGTCAGAGTCTCTCATTCTACGTTGCTGGAGATAATGATGTAAGCTTTATTCCATTCCTCTTATTACTTATGACCTTGCTTTAAGATTGTAGCTTTCTCTTGTATATTTTTTACTACTTGTTCTTTCAGTAGATTTTTAATGTTAGCAGTTTACTAGCAGCTAATAAACACAACAACTAGTAGATTTGGATAATGTGGTAGCCTACCAACTTGATTAAAAAGACATTTTTTTTATTTTATTATTTATTATGTGTGTACTGTCAAATCGGATCTGACTGGTACAGGAGGAGATTGTCCCTCCTTTTCCAGCAGACAATCTGGTGGATTCAAACCACGTACCTCTGGGATTGCAGTACAGCTTCTTGCCAATAGGCCACCAGACTCCCTTTAAAAAAAAGAAATTTTTTTATTTAACAAAACATAATATGATCCTTTGGCCAGAGAGCATGGTGCTGTGTACGTGGGAGTTGTGTTGTGTTGTGTTGTGTTGTGTTGGTCTCTGGAGAGGGGCGACTGTGCCTCCAGGAGCCAGGGAAGCCACGCTTGGCCTTGGGTTGAAGACACTGGCGGCTTCAAGCCCAAAAGGGCCCGAGGGCTTTTGTTCAGATATTCCTCTAGGTCGTATAGCCCTGGTTTACAAGTTGCGGTCCCTGCGGTCACTTGTGGTTGCTGTGAGGCCGAACCCTGTGACAAGGATGTGTCAAATGCGTTGATGGTTGGCTACCCAATGCGGACTGAGAGTGGGGTGGAGCTCCCCAATTAAACAAGCGTGGAAGGAGGAGTGGCATCCACTTCCATAATAGCTTGCCTCTGGAAACCCTATGAACCTGGAGAGAGGATGAAAGGCAACCAAGCGTCGAGGACTCTCCTTCTTAGGGTTGCTATGAGTCGCCTGCAACTCGACGGCACTTAACAACAACAACAACAACAACAAACAATGGTAAATTTTAATATTAATCTTTTTATAATTTACAGGTTTTTTAAATAATAAATTACTTGTTAATGACAACTGAAATTTTACATTCACATGAATAAAGTGAACTAAATCCAGAAAAGACAATAGCTACAGAGACATGCAATTAAAAATAACAGTAATATAGAATGACTAGTGGTTTCAATTTATTCATTCATAAAATAAAAAGTGATAAAGGATTCATTCTTATAGTAGCATTTAGAAGTGAATTTTCCTCTAATGCTACATTATATACTGTGTTTAAACCTTTCAATTAAGTGACATCTTTTCATCTGAGCCCTTTTTAACCTCACAGAAAATTTTGAGCCACTTGTTTCCTCATAGCTTCTCCTCAGATGTGTTACAGTGGCATTTTGCTAGCTCCAATTGTGGTGGCGGTGGTGGTAGTTCTGGTAGTGGTGGTGTTTGTCATAATCTAAGTAAGAGTTATTAGTCTTTAGTCTTTTTTAGTCTATGTGGGATCTTGCCTTTTGTTCCAAGTAGACTCTTTATATGTAGATGTTTAGCATCATACCTCTCCATAGACCATGCTGTCAAAGTTCCCTAGATGCCTTGTTTGTTGTTATTGTTGTTATGTGCCATCGAGGTGGCCACAACTCACAGTGATGCTGTGAACAGTGACTCTGAACCCTACACTATCTTGTGTCATCCTCACCATCTCAAGTGGACACACGTGAGCCCATTGTTGCAGACACTGTGTCAATCCATCTCATTGGGAGTCTTCCTCTCTCACGTCAGCCTTTCTAAACACAATGTCCTTCTCCAAGGACTGGCCCCTCCTGAAAAGATCCCATGCAAAATGTTTGTTGTCGTTATGTGCTGTTGAGTCTCTCTCCTGTGACTCCTGGCAACCCTATGTACAACAGCCCTAAACCCTGTTCTATTCTGTGCCAGTCTTATTGTGTCTGACACACCTACCCCCTTTATCCCAGTCACTGAATCAGTCCTTCTCATGGAAGTTCTTCCTGTCTTGTGTTGTCCCTCCACTCTCCCAAGCATGACATCCCTCTCCAGGGACTGGGCCCTCATTGCAACATGTCCAGAGTATGTCAGATGAAGCTTCAGAATCCTTACCTCCAACGAGAAGCCTGGTTTAACCCTCTGCAGGGTGAACCTGCTCATTTTCTTAGTAGCCCGTAGTATTATCAGTACTCCTCTCTAGCACCACAGCTCAAAGCCATCAGTTCTCTTTCTATCATCCCTAGTTATTGTCCAGCATTCAAATTTGCCAACCCTTTGAGGGAAGACAATGAGGCAGTCTCCTTTCATAAAAATGTAAAGCCTCTGAAATGAGTGAGAGGGTTACTGTGAACAAAATGACACTGTAGACACACTGCTCTACATACTTGGATACGCTCAAAAAATATATTTCGAATTCTCTGTTTTATAGATGTATGAAGTCCTAGTTTAGTCTCTTTGTATTCCCTCTGTTAACCTTGTATTTGTTAAAACAAAACTAGAGGATTTTCAGTGGCTGTTTTTTGTCTTAAGTAGATCGCCAGACCTTTCTTTTACGGAGCCTCTTGGTGAGCTCAAGCTACAGTCTGGAGTAGTTGCATAACCTCCATTTTTTTCATATGGTCTGTGGGCTCTTTATGTGATTTCTCTGACACCTCACAGCATTGTCTTTACTGTGTCCCACCAGGTCCTTCTTTGTCAGCTTTCTCTTTCCTGGTCCTTTAAGCCATCTTGAGTTTTCCTGTTTACTGGATTTCTCCTGGTATTGTTACTTAGAACAACAGGTGTTTAGTAAGGTCCAACTAGGTGCTTCTGGCTGCGATTTCTCCAAGGACGGCAAAGCTTTGTGTCTTATACTTTGGGCATGTTGCTAGGACAGGCTCTTCTTTGGAAAGGAGCATCATGCTTGGGAAGGCTGGTGAAAGACGGGAAAACCCTCAGCCACATGGATTGACATAACGACTGCAGCAATGAGCTCAAGAGTGTCAGACATGGTGAGAGTGGCACAGGCTCGGACAAAGTTCCGATCTCAACAAGAACAGCTAGATGTCAGGTGCTCTTCTGAGCTGAGGGGATAGTTATCTCAAGGGTCTCCTGCATCTAATGGGGAGAACAGATCAAAGAGGAACAAAGCCATCAACAGTTAAGAAGCTTGCGATAATCTTGGTGAGACCTCAAGGTAGCCTGGTCTTTAGAAGAGGCTGTAGGATTGGGTAGAAAAAAGATTTCAGGAAAACTTGAGAGAAGCTAGAATTGAAAGGCCTAGTGATGTATTTAGGGGAAAAGAGGGAGGATTCCTACAATTTAGCTGACTAGGTGAATGAAAATGCTGTCCATAGAAGATTTTCTAGGATGAAGGTGGTGAGTTTTGCTTTGAGTGCATTGATAAGGAAAGGACCTGATGATGCAGTGGTTAAAGAATTTGACTTCTGTCCAAAAGGTCAGCAGATTGAATTATCTGTTCCTCGGGAAGTGAGAGCTGCTCACAATGAGGTCATGAAGTGATAAAAAGTCGTGAGAAAAAAAACATGTGAGTGAGTGCCTGAATAAATACTGTAAAAATAGATTTTAAAACAATCTATTTTTTTTTTCTTTTAAAGTCTTGGGAACCAAATGAGGCAGTCTTCTCTGTACAATTAGGGTCACCCGAGCTGACATTGACGTGGTATTGTTTTTGGTTTGGTTGTGATGTGGTTAACGTTACCTGGTGGGCAGTTGGGTACACTGGTCAGAGATTCAAGTGAGAGAAGTGAGCCAGAAGTGAATATTAAGAGGTCATCTGTGTGGTGCTGGTGAGACATGAGATTTCCCTGAGTGATAGAGGAAAGACTAGACTCATGAAGACTCATTCCAAAAAGAACAAATACTAGATAGTTTTTATAAGAGTAAATGGTCCAAACTATCAAATACATTTGGGGGCTATGTAGAATATATACTCTCCCATTGCTGCTAAGTCAGCCGACTCATAGCTGACCCTCCAGTGGGCTTCTGAGGCTGTCAATTTTGTGGGAGGAAGTTGCCCATTATTCTTCTGCAGAGCTACTACTGATAGATTCAACTTCCAGAGAGTCACCCCTGAGGTTAGCACAACTTGCTATAAATGATGTCACCTGAGCACCCTTAGACTAAATACTGGAGACCTTCAATAGAGCTGAAGTGATAAGGATTTTTCTGTGAAAGTGTCTTTTGTGAAGGAATTCAATACATCAGGGCCAGCCACTGTGGTAGTTAGAGGAGAATTTGTTGTTAGACCCTAACAAGAAACTATGTTGTAAAGATAAAAGCATTCTGAAATTGGTGATGAGGGGCCAATGGGGAGAATGAAAACCAGTGGAGGCCACAAGGGAAGGGGAGTGGAGTGAAAGAGACGGGGCTACACACTGGTAAAGGGCACGTTAGGGTTTTGATGTCCAAAAACTCTATTTGAAAATTTCCATAAGATAATTTTAAAAAAAATTTGGCCTAAGTCTATTTTTTATTCCTTCTAAAATGAGTCACGACTTGCCTCCGGAATCTCTATGATAAGTGTCGAAAGTTGGAGAGGGGCTTCAGGCCTTTTGTTCATAGGGTTGCTATGAGTCATGCTCGATTCGAAGGCAGTCAACAACAACAACATGGGCAACTAAATGGCACATAACAACAACAACAACATTTTTATTGGTTTGCATAATCAGTGAACCAGGTGGTACATTCCTCAATAGAGGAAGCATGGGTTTGAAGTTGGTAGTTAACAACCAGGGGTTGTGGGCCATCCCCAGACGTAAGTACCTCTAGTTTCTAAAGCTGAGATGGAGGAAAATAAAAACTGCTAAAAACATTGAAGAGGAAAAACTCAATCCCATTGTCATGTCACTCCAGTGTCACACTCCAGTGGCTTCCTGAGACTGAAAATCACATGGGAGGAGACTGCCTACCTTTCTCCCAAAGAGCCCAGGTGGATTCCAACCACCAGAGAGGCATGGCCTCTGGGTTCGCAGTCCAGCTTTCTACAGACCAGGCCACCAGAGCGCCCCTGGGAGGAGAGAGGGCATAATGTCTGTGCAGAGGTTTTGAATTTGGAAGAACATTAAATGGATAAAGCTGTAGAGGTAGTGGTGGACTAGGGATATAAATTGGTTGGAAACTGATGGCTGAATATAATCATAAAACATTTCAAAGGGTGACATGACAGGATTGTAGGGTTGAGTTTGTTTTTTTAAAAAATAAAAAAGTCATATGTTCTCAAATATTTGTTGATAGTGTTCTTGTTTTGGTCAAGAATAGAAAAGAAATTAATTGGCACTATCCTTTAAATAATTAAATGTGATGCACACAATGTATTATGTAGCTAGACTTTCATGGTGTGGTATGTGTTGTATCCCCTAGGAATTCGTGATACTTACTAAAAAGCCAACCCAAACAAAACCCTATTTTACATAAACTAAAACCTGTTATTTAAAGAAGTTGTGTTAGAAATAAAATCTACTTGTTTATCTGTTTATTTATTTCTTTTCAAAACTTGTTTTTAAATTTAAGGAGCATCATTGGGAAGCAGTGGCTGTGCCTGAGGAAATGGTGCTTTTGTACAGCATTGAAGGTACCAGACTTGCTTTCTATGGTTCACATGCCATACAAGTTGCATGCCTGTCTCAGAAAAGAAATAGACTAATGGGAACAAAATTTAGCATTTCCTAAGTTCACATACGTAAATGTAGTGGTTCCATTTCAAGTTTCCTGACCCTATATTTCCTCACTAGTGTTCAGCTTCCTGTGTACTTACTTGTTCCTTATCTTTAATCCAGATCAATCACTCTGATCTCTTTTTAATGTGTTTAAAATCTTTAACCTTACATCTTATTTGTTTGACTATATCAAAACATCTGTACTATAACTTGAATTGCTTGAGTTTCAATTCCAGAATTATACAACTTAAAATCAAAACCATTAGATAACATTTCGGTCAGCAACAATAACAAAGTTCAATAAGCTGCAAATGCTGGTGAAGATGTAGAGAGACTGGAAAACTCATACTTTCCTGGTGTAGCCACTATGGAAAGCAGTTTGGTGCTTCCTTAGAATGTTGGAAAAGAAGTTAAATTTGACCCAGCAATCAATCCCTCTATGAGAAATGTATCCCAAAGAAATAAAAGTTGCAAAACAGAAGGCTTATCACACCCATGTTCATTGCAGCATTATTTGTAATAGTAAAGAGATGAAAACAACCTAATTGTCTATCAGCAGAGAAACAGATAAACTGTGGTACACAGTGGAATATTGTGCAACACTGAAAAACAGTGTAACATAGATGCATCTAGAGGACATTTTAAGTAAAATAAGTTAGTCACAAAAGGATAGTTGTGGTAGAAGACCACTATTGAAAAAAACTCAGGAAAGCTGTATACGCAGAATCATTCTTGGATGGTTGTCAAGGATGGGAAGGAAGGGAGAGGGGACTAGGAATTAACACAGAGACGAACTGGGTGAAAGGAAAGACAATAATGTTATATGGGGTTGATCAGACATTGTATTAATTAACTACATGTATAAATGCCAACATTATAAGACAAGGTGCATTAGTGCATAATTGAAAAAATGATTTTTAAATTTCACTCAAAAAAATGGAAAAAAACCTCAAACTCTTAAAAGTTAAAAAAAAAACCCAAAAAAGCAAAAAGAAAACAACAATACTCCATTTAGTATGGCGCCATTATAAATTTATATACCAAAACCTGTTTTAATCATTTTTGTAGTTATGGAGTGATATCTGGTGATGGTTTTCATCTGCATTTTACTGGCTTGGTGGTAAGAAGTTGCATGGCCAGCCAATGAGACATTGTTCAAATCCACTACCTCTTCTGAAGGGGGAAGATGGACAGTCTCTTCCCTGTGATTTACTGCCTTCTGGAAATATGCTGTCGGGTTAGCTGTGAGTCAGTTCTGACTCGACAGTACACAACAGCAATAATCAGTGAAATGAAACAGTTTTGATGTGCTTATTCATACATCATCTTTTATAAAGTATCTGTTTAAATATTTTTTTTCTTTTTAATTGGACTGACTTTTATCATTGAGGTTTTTCATTTTAGGAGCTCTTTCATATCCTGAGAATCAGTCCTGTCTTTTTTCCGAGTCTGGGCTCTGCCTGTGCCAGCTCCCTTAGGTAGATAGGCAGAGGACAGGACTCCCTCCCTTCTCTGAGCTGGGCTGGAGTTTCACCAGTGTGCTCGGAAAGTGCTTGTTCTGGTCTGTCAGGAAAAGACCGGCTGGGGTTGATTTTAGTCTGACTGCCCTTTCTCTTCCCCACACAGCCAGTGTTGTATGCAGAGCTTTTACCGAGTCCCCTGAAACCGCCTGGTAGTTTTTTCATTGAAAACCTGCCAAAGGGAAGTGTAGAATTATGTTCTAGATACACCAAGTAAACCAAAACCCAGACTCCCTGCTATTGAGTTGACTCTGGTTCAATGCAGACGCCTCCCTCCATCATGTTTCCAAGACGATAAATCTTTAGGTGAGGGGACACTGCCTGTCTTTCTCCCAGTGTAGCTGCTGATAGACTCAAATTGCTGACATTTTGGTTATCAGCCCAGAGTTACCACTATATCACCAGTACTGCATTAGGTCAAGTTCATTGTCTTTTTCAGGATATCTTTCCTTTGAAAAGAGTTTATTTGAACTTTGAATTGTGCTGGTGAAGAATATTGACTATACATGGACTTTAAATGAACAGACAGGTTTTTCTTGAAAGAAGTATAGATAGGATGGTTTTAAAACCAGAGATGGTGGCACCATTTTGACTCTCCATGTGTGCTCAGGTCACTTGGGGCCCTCTCAGACCATGTAATAAAGGCCTTTCGGTTCTTGGCACCAGTTTACTTCTTTCCCTCTCACCCTTGACTCTTTTTGTATCTAACGGTATTAATAAATTTTTTTAAAAACAACAACGCAGGGATTGTGAGATTTTATCTCATATGCTTTGGACATATTACAAGGAGGGACCAGGTGCTGACAGAAGACATCATGTTTGGTAAAAGTAGATCAGCACAAAAGAGGAAGACCTTCCATGAGACGGATTTAGACTGGCTGCAGCAGTGAGCTCAGCTACAGCAACAATAGTGAGGATAATAGTGATTGACTAGGGTTCCATCCTGTTGTACACAGAGCCCCTGTGAGTCAGTGCAGACTTGATGGCATTTAACAGCCTTGGAACTTAGATCGGAGGGAAGGGAAGTCACCTCTCTTGGAATGATGTGCAGAGAGTTACACTGCTGATCCTAGAGACTCTCTCTCTGTGATCTGAATACACCAGTGGCTCTAGGGGAGAAAGATGGGTAATCTCTTCACATTAGATGTGATTTACAGCCTTGGAAAACAACCAGGTGGTCAGCTGGGTGATTCTGACTTAAAGAGCGTGCATTGAGTTGAAATGCTGAGAGTTTCACATTAAAAATCTAGTATGGCTATGGACTTGTTAGTCCTCTTTTAAACTTGTCAGTTATTCCTGATTTTTCAGTAGAGGTGGTGTTAGGTACCATCAAGTCGAGTACAACCCATAGCAATCCTTTGAACATATCTGAACCCTGTCCTGTCCTGTCCTGTGTCATGCTCACAATCTGTGACATATTTGAGCCCATTGCAGCAGATACTATATCACTTTGTCTGGTTGAGGGTCTTACTTTCTTTCCTCAGTCTTCCACCTTTGCAAATATGATGTCCCTCTCAAAGGAATAGCCTCACCCAGCAACTTGCCCGAAGTGTATAAAGCAGAGCTTTATCATCTTTACTCCCAAGGCTGCACTTTTCTCAAAGACATATTTATTTGTTCTCTTGGAATTTCATGGGATATTCGATACTCTTCACCAAGAACACAGTTCAGAGGAATAAATTTTTATTCTGTCATCCTTATTCATTGCCCAGCTCTCAGATACATAGTAAGTGATTGAAAAGACCATGGCCTGAATCAGGTTCACCTTAGCCTCAAACTGACATGGTTGCTCCGCAGCAATTTGGAGAGGTCCCTGACTGCAGACTTTGCAGTGCAATATACCTCCTGATCTCCTGACTGTTGGTCCCAAGGGTATTATTGATTGTGGATGTGAACAAGATGATGTCATTGACGGTTTCAATCTTTTCTCCATCTAGCATGATATTGCCTATTGGTCCAGTGGTAAGAATTTTTATTTTATTGATGTTGTGATGCAATTCATATTGAAGGCTCTATTCTTTAATCTCCTGCATCAAGTGCTTCAAGTGCTCCTCTCTTTCAGCAAGCAAGATTGTATCATCTGCATAATGCCGGTTATTAATGACTCTTCCTCTGATCCTGATGCAACATTCTTTTTCAGAGTCCAGCTTCTTGAATAATTTGCTCAGCATACGAATACAACCCTGATGGCACCCCTTTCTTAATTTTAAACTATGTAATTTTCCCTTGCTCTATTCACACAGCAGCCTCTTGGTCTAGGTATAGGTTTCACATGAGTTAAGTGTTCTGGGATTCACATTCTTCTTGGTGTTAGCCATAATCTTTCATATTTTTTTATGATCTATGCAGTCAAATGCCTTCACAGTCAAGAAATCACAGATATTCTTCTGGTATTCTTTACTATCATCCAGCCATAATCCATATGACATCAGCAGTGATATCCTTATTGCCATGGCCTCTTCTAAATACTACCTGAACTCCTGGCAGTTCCTTATCTAAGTACTGTTCCAGCTGGTTTTGGGTGGTCTTCAGCATTATTTTTCTTGTATGCAATATTAATGATATTGTTTTGATAATTTCCATTTTCTGTTGTTGGATTACCTTTCTTGGGAATTGGAACAAATATGCATCTCTTCTAGTCAGTCAGCCAGGCACCTGCATACCAAGTTTCCTGGCATATGCTAGAGAGCAGATCTGGGGCTGCCTCTGTTAATTGAAACATATCATTGGTATCCCATTGATTCTTGGGGCCTTATTTTTGCTAATGTCTTCAGTACAGCTTGGAAAACTTTATTCATTACTGTTGGCTCTTGTTCATATGGTACTTACTGAAACTTTTCAGTGTTAGTCAGTTCTTTTTGGTATAGTGACTGTGTATTCACCCCATCTTTTTATGCTTCCTAGATCATTCAAGATTTTGCCCATACCGTCTCATAAGTGTTAAATATCAAGACTTGAATTTGTTTTTCACTTCTTTGAGATTAAGTTATGAGTAAATTCTTCTCTTTCCAGTCTCCAAATCTAATTCTCCACACTTTCTGGTATACCTTGCTTTGTCTTCTCAAGCTTCCCTTTAAAATCTTTTGTTCAGCTCTTCAGCAACGTTACCCCTTTTTTGGTTTCTTGACTCTCTTGTTAAATTTTCAGTCTTTTCTAATATCCATTTTGGTTTTTTTCTTTATCCTCTATTATGACCTTTGCTCTTTTCATGGATGATATCTTTTGTATTATCCCGCTATTTATCTGTCTTCAATCATTGGTACTTACTGCTTCAAACTTATTCTTAAGATGATATTTACATGTAGGTGGGATAAGGATCATAGTTTGGTTCTTGTGGACTTGTTTTAACTTTCTTTGGCCTCAATTTGAGCTTTCATATGAGTCATTGATGGTCT